GGGTCCCAGTATCTCTCCCACCTCCATCTCCCCCCCCATTCCATCCTGCCTCTGTGGCAGGGTGACACTCAATGCCCCTTCTACTGTGCTTTTTTGCATCCTCTGGATATATTACCAGAAGTGGTACTGCAGGGTCAGATAGAAGCTCAATTGCTAGTTTTTGAAGGACTATCCATATTGTTTTCCAGAAATGCTGGACTAGTTAGTGGGCATTCCCACCAACAGTGAAAGAGTGTCCCTTTTTCCCCACATCCACGCCAGCACGGGTTGCTTTTGTTCTTTTGAATGTGTACCAGTCTCTGTGGTCTGAGATGATATCTCATTGTTGTTTTGATTTGCATCTCCCTTATGGCTAGCGATGTGGAGTATTTTTCCATGTACCGTTTGGCCATTTGTATTTCTTTTTTGAGGAAACTTCTGTTCATTTCTTCTCCCCATTTTTGATGGGGTTGGAGGTTTTTGTCTTGTACAATTCTACTTGTGTCTTGTATATCCTGGATATTAATCTCTTCTCAGATGTATATTGGGTAAATATTCTTTCCCATTCTGTGGGCTCTTTCTGTATTTTGGTCACTGTTTCTTTTGAAGTGCAGAAGCTTCTTAGTTTGATGTAGTCCCATTTGTTTATGTTTGTTCCATTTACATGGTCAGTGCTGTTTCATCCTTAAAGATGTTTTTAGCTTCAATGTTGTGGAGAGTTCTGCCTACATTTTCCTGTATGTACCTTATGGATTCATGTGTGATACTGAGATCTTTAGAGAAAAGAATATTTTTAGTATGTTGATGTGGAAGAAGTGGATACTTTTATCAGGTTAAGGAAGGAGACAAGAATAGGTCGACCTGTTAGAAATTCTTTATCTTAGCACTCATTTAAGACTCAAGACCCCAAATATTTGTACAATCCTTTCCACTCATTAAATTCATGCCGACTAATAATAACAATTTCTCACACAAAATAATACAGCACTTGGTGTTGTGTCTGGCTTCTAGTGCAGTCTGTGGACCCAATATCCAGCTTTTCACAGCAGCTCAACAGAGTCTCCAGAAGTGCCCAACAACAGCAGAAACCCGGGAAGTTTACAGAGATGTGTCATGTGTAGCATCCACACTGACATGTGTATCACACCCAGTTAACTGAAGGGAACAGGAATATATATATATCACCTGTTGTCTTGTGATGTGACTGGGTTTTACTACCTAAAACCTCACCTTCATTTTGATCAAACATAGTGGAAAGATTTTAATTGGAATAAACTAATATTGTAAAATGATATTAGACAAGCTACTAAGTTGTACTGGGAAGTAGTTACTTATGAAGTACCAAAAATCATTTTTGGAAACATTTATGCATAAGTTACATCATTCGTAGAAAAAAAATAATCCAGAAGTATTATGCAGGTGAGTAGATGAGCTGGAGTACATGTTTTTCGTGCTGAATCCCTGGATTAGATCCGTGTTGCCAACAAATTAAACAGTGGTATTTAGCACTAATGGTTGAAATGTCACACTGATTTCTAAAGCAGCCATGAGAACAGACCTCACATGTCATATCCATAGGCTGATGGCTTCTGAGGCCACCTCACTGATGCTGCAGCTGTGGGCCTCAGAGTGAGTCTGGACAGTTCTGGAAGGAGGCATGGAGCTGGATTGACAAGTCTATCTAAGGAGTCAGGAACCCTCTGCTCCCTGACACACCCCACCGCTCACCTGTCATTTCACCTGCAGCTTCCTCTTCCTTCCTGAAGATTTTTCGGAAATTAGATCAATGACATGTGAGGATGAAAGAAATTAGCACTTAGCTCCTGGCGACACACCATCCCTCCTGAATTCTTGATCCCCTGTTCATGGTTACTTCAGAGCTAGCTGAACATTTTATTATAAAGAGATATCAATATTTTGCTTAGTACTTGCAGATTTGCCTTGTGCTGTGTATTACAGCGTGTGTTCAAAGACTGATGTAAAAAGTCTCTTTAGAATCACTAGGACAAACATCTGAAATCATTTTAGCTGCAGTACCAGAAAACAGCCACTAGATGGGAGACAGACCCCATAACTGACCATGCAGGGAGCCTGGATCTTAAAAGCACTGGGACAGACACTGACTGAGCTGGTGTCCCATGACAATAGGGACAGTGGGTCCTGTTGGAATGGTGGGATATATAGAGAAGCAGCTATCAGAAGATGAGTTTTATGAAAATTCTCATGTTCTTGCAGTGTGAGCAGAAGTCCAGTATTACCTGTCTGCTGGAAACATTAGTGGAGTTACCCTTTCTCCACATCTCCCCAATTTATATTGTGACATTATTTCATCATGACTGTAGACAGGGAAGATAAACCATTACTTATTGTAAAGTAAAGTCACAGGAGGGAAGATAAGGAGAGAGCATAAAAGACACCAGGGAACCCCCTCCATCCACACAGGTATGCACCCAGGAGAATTCTGTGAATCAAGGGGAGGGAGGGGTTCCTGCTGACAGGAGGTGTCAAGGGAAGTGACTTTGTGAGAACAAGGACTTTCTTCTCCATCCTCCCAGAGTGTGAGAACCCCCTGTGTGTGGTGTGATCTCTCTGGCCTGTGTGTTCCTGTGAGGAAGCCTGAGCTGATGCTTCACACCCCTGGACCCTCAGAGCAGGGCTGTCTCAGGGGTACCTCATTTAAGGGGGGGACCCCATTACCTTTCCTATCCTGGGTTCTGAGTGCTCAAGCTTCATTTTTAGCTGTTTTGTTTATCCTAACCTTGCCTTTAGGATGAAGTTGTTGTTACATTTATTCTAATCAGAAATACTTCAAGTCGAATAGTCCTAGAACTACATTTCTCAATAGCCAGATGGCTGAATATTGTTCACATTAACCATCGGGTCCTATAAAAGGACATGAGGGGCACCCGAATAATTAAATGTTTTAAATAATATTTTGTTTTCTTTGGGGCCACATCTAGCAGTGCTCAGGGTTTACTGTGGTTTTGTTTTTTTCCTTTAGTTATCTCTCCCTCCAGGCCTAGCATGGGGTAGTGGTTCATGGGAGTCTGGTTTGGTCTCTTGGGTGCTGAATTCAGTGGTGTGGGACCACAGGATACTGCAAGAGAACATGGTTTGCAGTTCCAGGGACAGCCTCCAGAATGAAAGAACAGTGATGTTGATGGCACTCTTTGGAAGCCGGATGCTGACTCCCCCAGCATGGATCTCTGCCCCAGTCCAGAGTGCAGTTCTCCTTGTGTGAGTCCTATCTTTACCTGACACTGACTCCTTCCACCCAGGTAGCACCCTGCATCCCCTAGAGGTGTTTGTTGTTTGTTTAGTGTCTGTGAATCGCATATGCTGTGATGGTGCTGTCACTGGTTGTTCTATAGTGCTATCACCTCAATCTCCTCAACACACTAAGTCATCTGGTGTCTGAGAGCTGCTGTGTCTTTTGAACAACACGAGGTTTGTGACCAAGTGATGCACCAGTGATGAGACAGAGATATTCAGTGAGGATTCGGTCAAATTGTACTGTCTCAGCCACTGCAGTTGAACATATTTTCAACTGGCCAGCTCAGGGGAAAATGATGAATGATAGGAAGAGAGTTCAAGGATGTCAAAGAATATTCAGGTATGTGTCATGAATTAGAGCTGGAAAAGAAACAAGTCTTTCAAGATGAGGAATGAATGTTTTTGCTTTATGTTGACTTGGATGTAATGGAATAGTTTCTCAGGTGCAGGGTGGTGAGATGAGGAGATTAATTGGTTGGGATGTCAGATGTTCTTTATCTTAGCACTCATTTATGACTCAAGACTCCTAATGTTTGTACAATCCTTTTCACTCATTGAATTTGTGTCTGCTAATAATAACAATTTCTCACACAAAATAAAATAGCAGTTGGTGAGGGAGACTGACCCATCAGGAGGCATGAGCTGGGGTCCACATGTTAGCAAAGGACTCAAATGGCCCAGACACCTGCATATAAAGGCCTGACAGTTCCAGGACTGCAGCACCACAATAGCCTTGTATCATTGGTCCCCGGCATTAAACTGCTCATCCCGATGGCTACCTGATGTTCAAAGTGACCATTAGGTTTCTGAGCACTGACTGCCAAAGAGCACTCTCACTATCAAATAGAAAAACAGAACATTTTACACCTTTGCAAAGTGCAGTAAACTATATTGCGATTTCAAAGCAAAGAGAAAATTTCCATTGCCTCAATTTTATCCACGGACGAGAAATAAAAGGAATTTGTACAATTCCTGAGGAAGTCTAAAAAGTGTATTCTGACAAAGCCTCTTTCTGGGGCAGAGAATGTAAGAATTTGTGTCATAAAACAGGGACCAGGGACCCACCCTTCTGTGCTCACCTTGTGGCCCTCCTGGGGCCCGGGGAGGAGCATGTCCTGTGTGAGCAAATTTCTGCTTCCCCCCAGGGACCCTCACCCCTGACTTTCCAGCAGCTGGGTTGGTCTCCACACACACCACACACCCTCCCACCTCTACCTGTCCAGCCCCCTCTCATTTGCAATTCCTCAGGGCTCATGCTTGGACACTCAATAATAGACAAAGTCACAAGGCTCTGGTCACACAGCCGGGGGGGCGGGGGGGGGAGGGAACTTTTTTGATCGTCTTCGCTATTTGGGGTTGGGGAATGAACAGCCAGGGCTGCAGGACTTCAGGGCACCAGGAAGCCTAGTAGGGCACCTCCTTAAACCAGCCCTACAAAAAAACAGGCCTAAGCAAAGGCACAAGCCAAGGAGACAGAAATGAAATTTGGGGGTTTTCCTAATAAAACAGGGGGAGTCACCTATTGGGACAATAGTGTTCATGTACTGATTAAGTTATTTCTTATAGTCTAATACCATCTTCTATAGTTAAAGAAAACATCATCCACACATTGTTGAACCAACGAAGGGTTGAAAGTTTGTAAAATGTCACTGTCACTGTCACTGTCATCCCATTAAACACAGATTATTTGAGCGGGTGCCAGTGATATCTCCATTTGTCCCAGTCCTGAGATTTCAACATTGTAAACTTTATGCTCTCTGTTCACTGATGTGGCATGCCAGCTGGATGTTCTTGTGCATAGTGGTGCCGTGCATGGAGGGGAACACGCAGAGGTTTGTGTCCTCAAAGAGACCCACCAGGTAGGCCTCACATGCCTCTTGCAGCTCCCTGACTGGGGAGTTCTGGGAGTGCAGGTCGGTCTTGAAGTCCTGAGCAATCTCCCGCACCAGCCAATGGAATGGCAGCTGGCAGATCTCGTCCAGCTCCACAGTGTCAGGCCAGTAGCAGCACAGCTTCTTCATGCCCCTCATAGCTGACACACTCATTAGGGCCTCCTTGGTGGCCATCTGCTTGCAGGGTGCCTTCCTACCCACTGGTGTGTGTGCAATCTGTTTAGTAAAAGCCCTCTTGTTCTTCTCAACTCAGCTGGAGGCTCCTTCAAGGTTAGGGAAATAAGACTCATTTTAGCTACTGTTGTTGGCATTTCTGGTACGTCATGGGTGGCTTGCCAGGTTCTGCTATGCGGGTTGGATACCCTCAGTAGCTTGCCGGGATCTCTGGGGGGAAGATGGAGGCTTTGGGGGCGATCTGTAGGTGTCCCTGTGGTGTTCCCAGTCTACCGAATGTAAGTTCCTGGTGACCAGCCTGCTGTAATAATTTGTACACTGACAACATGGACCTGCCTGCATCTCCAGGCAGCGCCTAGGGCATCTGCAGACTGGAATTAATTTTCTTGAGGTGGATGGAGTGCACCTGGAGGTTGTTGAGTAAGTGGCAGAACGAGACACCATCGCATAAGGTCTGTGCCAGGTCAAACACCTGTGCCAAGTCCCAAGTCACGGGGTGGTTGTCAGACAGCGCCCCACAGTGGACTAGTTACTGCAAGGGCTACTGTCACTGCCCCAAGCTCGGAGGCGCTGTGACTGGGCCCAACCAGGGGAGGCAGTGATGCTGTGGACAACACCACAATTTTTCGTCCCCCCGCGGACGCCATTGTTAGATGTGACCCTAAAATTTTAAGTTCAATAATCTGTGCTGGTTATGAACCCCCTAAGAGACAGACTCTGGGTTGAATCCATAACAGACTGTGGGATTCACACGCCAGGGTCTGCTATTGCAAAAAGTACCCCCTGCACTTACCTCTAAAAAACATTTTGTTCCAGTGTGATATATGGTTGTAACTGAATTTAAGCCGTATTGATGCATGCATAATCCTTCTCTTTCTTTAAATGTAGTAAAATGTATTTCAACTTGCATGATCTTAATTGAGACTTTGGGATGTAGTTTGAGAGTATAAATGCAACCTCATTTAAAAGAGAATTTTTTTTCTGTGTCAAACTCCTTGAGCATATGTGTCACCATGAATTCAATTCATTAGGCCCCAGGGAAAGGCAATATCAATTTCGTGATTATTACAATGGGAAACTATTAACCTGATTACAACAGAAACAGAGAAATTTGTCTCTTCCATGTCCATTCTAAATGTTGAGACTTGGGGTTGGAGCCATATCACGGTGGGTAGGACATTTTCCTTGCACATAGCCAACCGGGGTTCAAGTTCTGGTACCCCTTATGTTTCCTCAAGAACCACCAGGAGTGATTCCTGAGTGCAAAGTCTGGAGTCAGCCCTGAGCATTACCAGGTGTGACCCATGGCGTGGAGGCCAGCCACACATGCTAGGGGAAAAGGGAGCTTAGATAGAGAAGGGAGCACCAAATAAAGGGTGTTGAGATGATCCTCCCAGGATAAGAGAAGCATGCTGAAAGTAGACAGTAGACCAAACACGATTGCCACTCAATGATTTGTTTGCAAACCACAACACCCCAAAGGAGAGAGAGAACAAAAGGGAATGCCCTGCCACAGAGCCGGGTGGGATGGGGGAGATGTGGGTGGGTGGCAGGGATACTGGGAGCCCTGGTGGTAGAAAATGGGCACTGGTGCAGGGATGGTTACTTAATCATTGTATAACTGAAACCCACGCAAAAAAATTGTAAGTCTACAACTGTACCTCATGGTGTTTCACTAATAAAAATTAAAAAAAAAAAAGAAGTCGAGACTGCACACGAGATGCTGGAGATTCTCACATGGAAGATATGGGAGACATATTTTTTCTTGCTTGTTTGATTTTTTAGTTGCTTGTTTGTGGTTGACATAGACACATTTTTACATGGCTAGAGCACCTGATAAGTCAGGAATCTACTAATTGTGAGAGACACAGTGAGGGGCCTGAGTGATAGTGCAGTGTTTAAGGTGATTACCTTGCACGCAGCATCCCATATTGTCCCCCATGTACTGCTAGGAGTACTTCCTGGGTGAGGAGCCAAGAGTAACCCCTGAGCATTGCTGGGTTTGTCCCCAAGCAGGGAAAAAAACCATAAAACAACAACAACAAAAGAAACATGGACACACATCTGTGTTACCTACAGTTAGACTGAGAAATGTTCCATCTTAACCACTACCATCCAGGCTAAGTTAATGTTTTCTCTATTTTTCAAAGAATAGAAGACACATTTATCACTTTGCTCAAGAGAAGTGACTCCTTCTTGGAGGTCTTTTCACACTGATGCATCCACCAGTGTATTTGCATGCTGTCCCAGGGGAGGATCTATTTTGGACAGTCTCACATAAAGGTCAGCTCTGTCTTGCTTTCAGCTATCAGGTCTTCTCAGATCAACTCTCAAAATGAGGCTCCCTGCTCAGTTTCTGGGTCTGCTGATATTGTGCATCCCAGGTAAGGGGAGCAGGGAGAACAGAAAGAATGGGTCCAGGAGGGGAGGGGTTGGGAGACACACTGGTCTCCTTGTGTGTTTTGTGTGTGTGTCAGACTGTGTGAGAGAAAAACATCAGGAAAGTGGAGATGGCCCAGGGAAGGTGTAGAGACCTGTATCCCCATGCCTAAGGTCTCTTCACTGGGATGACATCCTTCTTGTGTAGGAGTATAAATCATTCAAGTAATGTCTTTCCCAGTAAACAATATTTTACCAAAATAAATTACAGAATGGAAGCAATGATATTGACTGGTGATGATTGATTGTAACCTGACACTTTTAAAAATCAATTTTCCAGGTTCCAGAAGTGATATTGTGATGACTCAGCATCCACTTTCCCTGTCCATTATCAAGGGAGAGACCACCGCCATCTTCTGCACGTCTAGTGAGAGCCTCCAAGATATTTTTGGAAACACCCATCTGAACTGGTACCATCAAAAGCCAGGCCAACCTCCAAGGCTCTTGTTCTCTCTAGTTTCTAACCGAGAGCCTGAGGTCCCAGATAGGTTTAGTAGCAGTGGGTCAGGGACCAAATTCACTCTTCAGATTAGCAGGGTGGAGCCTGAGGATGTTGGCGTTTACTACTGCATGCAAGATATAGAGACTCCTCACACAGTGATACAGCCCTGAACAAAAATCTCCCTGCCTGGTCTGCCCCAGATGGCCACACTTTTTCTTTGCTGGTGAGCAGTCAGCAGAGTCTCTGAGTCAGTGAGAGGAAGGCACTGGGATTCTCAGGGGAGGAGGCTGCAGCTGTGGCTCTGCACCCTGCGAGCCCCTGCTGTACTGCAGACACCCCACATTAGGGCCTGGTCAGAGGCACAGGCCTGGCCTGGCAGAGCAGCAGGTCTTCAGGGGGCTGTGAGCTGTGAATGAACAGTTGTCGTGAACTCATAGCAGATGGGCAACCGCATTTCACCCTCCCAGTCTTGCCCACATTTTTAAGGGATATATTTCTACCTAAGTACCTGACTATTGACACAATGTTTTCAAGATTTTAAGGATTAATGGAATTTATTGTGAAATGTACATTTTTATGAAAGCAAAGTGCTTCATATCCGTCAAAGGGAGTGCAAAATGTAAGGTTCTTGCCCCTTATGTGCCCAAAACTTTTAATATCCCTTGAACTCCATATTTTTCCTTCCAGGACTAATCCTTAAACCTGGAATTAGTCCTGAGCACTGCAAGGTGTGGCCTGAAGCTAACAAATGAGAAAGCTAACAAACAAATATACTAACAAACAAAAAAGTAGCTTCACTTCTCCACTGTCCCAGGCCGCCCTTTCTAGTCCCTCTCACCTCCTCCACCTGCACCTCCAGGGCCTCTGCGTCCCTGATGGAGACTCCAGTATGTCAGCTCCGACTACCTGTCCTGACTGCACAGGCCCCAGTCATCCTCCTCATACAGGGGTCCAGGTGCCTTCAGAGCTAGGACCCAGGTTCTCTCATTCCTGCCCATGGTCATCCCTAGTTATCATTCATTTACTAGGATTTCTGTGCAAGACATTCTTGGTGAGTGGAGTCAGGGGAAGCAGAATGTAGAATAGGAATTTCTCTGACACTTGCTCACTGGGGCAGAAACAGTCCTCCAAAATCAAATCCTTGTTGCAGGAACGACAATGGGGAAGGCAGGGAACCCTCCTTACTTGTGTCCCATGGGAAGCTGACAATGGACTGAGGGGGGTTTTGACCTGATTCCAAGCTTACCCTGATTATCCATACTGCTCCTGACAGAAAAGTCACCAGGTGGACACTGTCCCTGAACTCAGCTCCAGAGAGTACTCTATCCTCCAACTCCTGTCCCATACCTGCTGAGTCCCGAGATTCTAGAACCCCAATGTCACTCTGGGCCCAGAGCTGTGTCCAGCTCCCACTGGCTCTCAGAGGTCCCTGTGTGGGGACCTGCCCTTCATGATGTTGGTCTGGTTGTTGGATGGGCCAGAAGGACTGGAATTTGCTGTTGATCACATTCACAACAACGTATAAAATATAAACCCACACATTATAAGAACTATAATTTTCATATCTCCTTATATAGAAATTACCAGCCTAACCCCGTTCTCACTTCCAGAGAGACATCCAATTAATGTTCGGTAAATGTCCAGGAACAAAGTCATTCATCCGCAACAGCAAAGGCAACTCTTCTGGCCCTGGTGGCACAGGCAACGATCTTACTGCAAAGACTAGAGCAAGGGACAATGTTTACATTGGCTTCAATGTGTTTTTTTTTCTTCATTTCTGTAATGCCGTGAAAACATTGCAGATCCCAAGAAAGACTAAGAATTCTTTTCATGACTTCCAGATAGATGGACTTGTCCATGTACTAGAAGAAACATATATCAAGACAGTTTACAACTCCCACATTGTGATTGTTCCATTTTGTCTATTGTAGTTATTTGTAAGCACAGGGAATTCAGAAATGAGGTGAAGATCATGGTCTAGGGGAGCGAGTGCTCAAAGGATCACTCATGAAGCATGGCCAAGACAAAGCCACCCTCATGGCAATAGGAGCTCAGTCACATAAAAAAAAATTATTAAGAAAGGAAGTTGTTCAATAAAGGCTGAGGGAGAAATCCTCCA